CTGCTCCTCCTGTGGATCCATTTGCAAAGATCAGAGTAGATGACTGTGGAAAAACCAAGGGATGCTTCAGGTCAGTCTGAGATAAGAGTGCAGATACCTTTATGTTTGCAAATGCTGACTGATTGCATTGGAGACTTTGGTAAATGTTCTATATTCATTTTAATAAATGTTTATTACTTAAGAACATACTTCGTAGAAATGGACAACATTATTTGAGGAAACTATATTAAGGATATACATCATAGTTATGGACCTACAGTTATTTCATGTTTCTCGTGTTTTCATGAAGCACTTACAAAACCAGGGCTAGGAAGGTCAACAGAGTAATACTGTGTGTAACTAGTGGCTTGCCATGCTGTTTAAATACTATACATTCTTGCACCAAAAGAGTAATAATTAAAAACAATTAATGGTACTTTGTGTTTAGCATAATGTAACATGATTTACTGCCATTATACCAAAATGCGTTCTTTTATTTTTTCCTTGCACAAACATAATTAAATTCCATAGTAGGAAATTGTAAGTAGGAAAAAAATGACATGTATTTCCAATTCCATTTAGGTATGGTAAACCTGGATGCAATGCAGAGACTTGTGACTACTTTCTAAGCTACCGTAGAATAGGAGCTGATGTTGAATTTGAGTTGAGTGCAGATACTGATGGCTGGGTGGCAGTGGGATTTTCCTCAGACAAGAAAATGGTAAGACATGTACAGTTCTTGATGTTGACAGTGTGCATGCTTTTATTTGCTAGGATATAAGTGGTTTATATTAGATCTGTCAGAAATAGAGCATCTGGGGAAAAACTGACTCACTGAAAACAAAGCACTGTTTGGTAGCCACCCTGGGAGCAGAAGCCAGGCCTAGTGCTTCCCAGAAAACTGCTGCATCCTTCCTAATATGTCCTTTCTGTTCTTCTCTGAGAAGTACAACATTCAGTTGTAATGTTCAGTATTTCAGTTCAGCTCGGCACGTCTGAATGTTACTAGTTTTTTACGTTTTTATTAGAAAAGTTCTCAGGGATAAGCCACTTCATGTGGAAATAACCTGTCATGCTTTATGTCAGTGTTACTTGGACAAAAGGCACGTCAGAAACTAAATTTCAAATAATTTTATTCTTCAGTCAGTCAGCAGACTTTCAGTGATATAAATATGACTTTCACTGTTAAACTCTGGAAATTATTTTCTTTCTTTCTTTTCTTGTTCCATTGAACCCACAAATGTGACACAAAATGATCCCTGCTAATTTAAACATATATACTCTAGAAAACAGTCTTGTTAAAATCTCTTCTGTCTCCTGAATTTTATGCGGTTTGGTTTTATGCTTATTCCTGTACTACTTTTTCATTCAAAAGCTTCACTTTTCATTCTGTTTCAGTAAGCAAAACAGGAGCATGTACTGTGTGAACTTTAACTCCATGAGCAATAGACAACTTAGGCAAAGATGTTTTGTCTATGATCCTTGGTAAAATATTTAATGCAGTTAATAATGTAGGTGTTTGTATACAGAAACACTACTGAGTATATAAAACAGTACTGAGTCTATGTCCTAAATCACAAATCAGAGGACAGGACTGTTTCTCATACAGTTGTAAGCAGTAGTCAGAAAAAAACCCAGAATTTGGACAGCGTGGGCTAGGACCCACGAAATGAATGGAAGGACTTGCACTGACCTAATGATGTTTTCGTTGTACCCAAAATGAGAAATAGAAAAACTGTGAGGGCAGGTGCTTTTCAGTATGATTCTGTGATTCTATGTTTCATTTTGAGACTGTAAATAAGCAAAATAAAGGTAGAAATCTTTTGTGTCATGAAGAACAATTCAGTCATGAGAAGCAGTTCATGTTTTTAATGTTGTGAGGAAGAGTTTTACAGCCAAATTTTGGGAAGATTTCAGATGCCTGGAAATGCAAGTACTCAATAGGGTTTTCAAAGCAGCTCAGCACCTTTAAATATTTATCCCCAAGCTATCAGAGATTGTGTAACCAGTCTGTAATTCAGACATACCTGCAGCAAATTCACGGTCTTACTGCTTGCATCTCATCAGCCACTTGGAAAGCAGGTATTACCTTTCGTCCCAGGCACACCAACTACTATGTTAAATCTCAGCTTCTGGTAAGAAGAATAAAGTAAGTGTAACGTAAAAGGTTTTGCTTCCGAATTTGCTGCCTACGTGATCTAATGCCCATGAGGCAGCTGGACTAAACCAGCTAGCATCTGTCTTCCTCTCTTTTCCCCCTGCTGACTTCATCCTTTTCTTAACTTCCAGGATGTTTTGGTGTCCTGGGATGTGCAGGCTTTAATGGTAAAATGACACTGGGTCAAAACAGCTTAGCTGTGGGAAGTAGGCTGTGCTTTGGAGACTGTATCAAAGTGGTGTGGCCTGGATAGCTACAGAAATTCGGAAAAAAACCCTATTTTGTGTCCTCAATAGATTTTTTTTTAAGGCTTGTGACCTATTTCTTTGTCTCAGATAACGTTACGCTTTTCCACTTGCAGGCTTTTGTGCCCAGACGGGATTTTGTAATGTCATTCTGTTAACTGACATTCAGAATGCTTTTTTCTTTCCTTTTTTTTTTCTTTTTTATGTGAAAACAGCTTCATTTTTTCCTCTTTGTATTTAAGAATGAGAGATTTGTGCTCAGATATATAAACCTTAAACTTGGAGAAGGTTATGAGTAAGGATAGGCTCAAGGCAGAATGTGGAAAGGTTGCCTGCAGCAGCACTGAGGTGCAGAAGCTGTTCAAGCATATATTTTACCTAGTTGTCCCCTTTTTCCTTAACTTTTGACACATCTTTTGCAAATTCCATAGAAATATTCCCAAATTGATGAAATGCACCCTTTTCCTCTCCTTTCCCTATGAAAAAGAACTGAGAGATGATCACACTAGCAAGCACCATGTCTATCATCAGCATGACACATCAGAAAGATTAATATTGGAGAAGTAGGGCCTGTATTTAATATGGCACTGATACCTGGATAGTAAGGGTAAGTAAATATTACTATCCACTTTGTGCTTTTCAATCTGACCAAAGACACATGGTTAAGGAAACAAGTATTTGTGTAACATAACTTAGAGGGAATGAGAGCCAGGGGCCTTGATGCATTTTAAATAATCAAAATTATGTACATATATGAGGAAATGCTTTGTGACGCTTTTGTTTTCCTTCTACCAATATGTACCGTGTAGGGAGGAGATGATGTCATGGCTTGCGTTCATGATGATAATGGAAGAGTCCGAATACAGCACTTCTATAACGTCGGTCAGTGGGCTAAAGAAATCCAGAGAAATCCTGCTAGAGATGAAGAAGGGGTTTTTGAAAACAATCGTGTGACATGTCGATTCAAGCGTCCAGTATATGTTCCCCGAGAGGAAACCATTGTAGATCTGCACTTGAGTTGGTACTATCTGTTTGCTTGGGGTCCAGCAATTCAGGGTAAGTTGATTTCTGTGTTACTGACGGAACTGAGGTGCCAAAGCTGACAAATGTCTTTCAGTTACATTGTTCTTACTAGACCTCTTTTCTGTTAATGAACTAAAATTCTGTCAGCATGAGGCTTAAAAACAGATAAAAAGGAAGACAAGGTAAATAACAGAGTAATACATCTTGTTTTCTTGACTATGTAGTTATTAACCTCACTCCCCAAAGCTAAGTTTAGAACTTCATAACTAGAAGTTCTGATTTCCTTTGAAGGATGTTTATCATTTACTTGAATTTCATTTGTTTTATTCAGAAGTTTAATTTCTGAATGCAAAAATGACCCTACTCACTGTAATGTTGCATGCTTCTGTAGGTTTGAAAATTACCTGGTTGTCTACCTGTTTCTTTGGAAGAATTATAGAAAAAATGCACCTGATGTTATTTTTTTCTGCCCTTACCTGTTAAAGGTTCTATAACTCGTCATGATATAGACTCACCACCTGTATCAGAGCATGTTGTCAGTATTTACAAGTATGAAGATATTTTCATGCCGTCAGCTGCCTATCAGACCTTCTCTTCTCCATTCTGCTTGCTCCTCATTGTTGCACTGACCTTCTATTTATTGATGGGAACCCCATGACTGGTGGAAAACAGCAAGAATTTGGCAGTGGAAGTTTCTCAGGATGGACGGCTATATGGATGGACAGTGCATTTTTCTATTGGAATTTATATCACACCACCATCCTCATCTAGCTGCTTTTGAACATAGTTAGCTTCTCAGAAGAATGAAATAACCATCTCCTTTGAGTGGCAAAGATGTGACAAATCATTTAAGAATTATCAGTGAACACATAGGAGAATATTTTCAGTGTCGTGACTGCTTGCTTAAAGAAAAGGAACTTTTGTAAAATCAATGTGCGTGTGTGTTATGTGTGTTTGGGAGGGGTGTCTGTGTGTGTGTTTAGGAGAATTTAGTGATGGACACCTTATCACATAACAAAATTGCCTTCCAAATTGCTCCCAAAAAGCAAATTTGGGAAAACATTATGATGCTATTTGGTACTTCTGAAGCAGACAGCACAATTCCAGATTCAGTTTCTGAACTTAAGATCTGGATACTGACACAGCAGTATAAAACCTGCCCTTCAGTAATGGACAGTTCTCCCTATTTTTATATATGTATCAAGGTTTACATGGCCTGGTACTTCCCAAAACTCAACTTGCATAATGAAGCATTAACGTGATTTTTTTTTTCAATTGAAAATAGGTGATGAATGTCTTTATTATAGTAGTGTTTAAACAGCCTTCTTCAAAGAAATGGCTACTTCTTCTCTGAGTGAGATATAAAGTTATTTAAAAAAGGGGAAGGGAGAATACAGTAATGAAAATTTTCCATACATAGGAAAACCACATGTAAAACATGCAGAATATAGAAGTTGCCAACAAGCCGTAGGATATCGTTCCAATAGAATTAGTCAGTTTTTCTCTTTTTATGAAAAAAAAACCCTGAAACCACCCCAAACCAAACAGTAACTTTGCTGACATGTAAATATGTTTTTAACAGTCATGTAGGAGTATGAAATAATCTGTTTTTCTGTGCTGTATGCTTGTATATCCTGTTCATGTTAAGGATGAATATGGGCAGCTGGCGTTAACTTACATAAAAATGGAAATATAATTGAGATTATTTGTAAGGAAAGATAGGGATTGATAAGAAGAGCAGTAGCTTTAGTTTCATCAAACCATTGCTAAAATGTAGTTACTGTGGAAAAAGGTGAGGTAAAGAGGAAGTTAGATTTTTTTGTCACTAGTAAGTATTACAAAGATGAATGCTAAGTATTACAGAAATGAAAAGTGTCAAAATGTAATTATGAGCCACAGAATATTATGAAAAACTTTGAGTTCTTGTGGAGAATTTCTGTTCTTCACATAATAGGAAGTGTATGACCCATGTCTACATGTAGCAGTCAAATGTGCTTAGATAAGGTTGCTCATTCACTTCCCAACTTGCATTAAAATTCTATTTAAATAGAATTAAAATTTAAATTGTGCCAAAGTTCTAATGAATGTGGTACACTTGAGAACTCTGCAACATAGGATCTGGTACAGTATGTGATGGACCTTCTTTCTATTCTCATTGCTGCATACAGTGTGAAAAGATTAACTACCTTTGCTGGGTTCGCATCATTATTCACAGACTGAAGTTTGTAGACTAATAATTGTTTAGACTCAGCATTCTTCAAACCTATGCTTAAAGTATATGAATTCAATTGAAAATTAATTTATCTCCATCACAAACACTTTATTCCACTTTCAAAAGAAAGATTGCTTAGCAATACATATTTACATTGATATCTTTAAGGATTTGTTCACTTAAAATTACTGGATTAGAGTTCAGGAGAGGGAATTAAAATTCAGGATTAAGTGAATTTTCCAAGTGCATATAGTAGCTTTATTTAGTATAAATTAGTTCTCCCAAGTAGGATAACATGCTTCTTATCTGATGAAATCCATAGCAGAGACAACTTAATAGGGAAGGTCTGCTTTGGTCCATGATGGCTGTAAACTTTAGCCTTAAGACCGGTTGAAGCAGATAGCTGAAGCCTGGATAATGAGTTTTCTATTCAACAACCAGGTGAAGTGATGAAATCATTAGGGCAAATTCTTTCTCCTTTGTGCTAATTTGTAGACAGCTGCAATAACTGTGATCTCTGAGAAGGAACTGCACTATTTAAAGTACCCTCAGGGTTGCTTTAGTTTATGGCCTTGTATTTACTATTTTAGTGTCAGGCATTTACCTGATTACCCACTAAAGGGCTAATCTAATAGTTGTAAGGTACTGAAACAGGATAGAAACCCATTTTGGCTCCTCTTTTCTTTAATACAGTGATGGCTTTAGGATAGCCTGATTGGACGTGGGTGCAGGGGTATGTTAAAGATGACAATACTTTACACCAAGGTAAATGTGCAACCCCCATAGAACTACTTTTCACTTACATGGAATCAGACATGGTTAAAGTTCAGGCTGTAAATCAACAGTGAATTCAGAGCAGAGGCAGAGCTGCTTAAGGATATGTCTTCTGCAAAGTAAAAACTTTTTCTGTCTTCAGCTGTAGTGAGGTTCTAAAGTAGGGCAAAAAATACATTTGGTTGGGTTTGGGTTTTTTGCCCTTTATCAGTTTCCTTGTCGGTGTCTGTTTGGTGTTTTTGTCATCATATTTTTCTGCTGAAGTATTAGCAAAAATGTGCATTTCTGTAAAAACTTTCACCCAAGCTTCGAAGTACTTAATTAGCACCAATTACGTATTTATAATCAAATGGGTGGAAATAAAAGGCCACAACAAGCAGCAAAACACTCTATTTGGCGTTTCAGCTGATGGTCGAGTTTAGCTCTGAGTTTGTGAGAGTTGCAATTCTGAGTAGGAAAAGCAGGAATATGAGATTTAAGTTGACAAACAAAGAAGATACAAGTGTTTAGAGTTTTCTAGTTGGGAAGAAATATGAGAAGAAAAAGGCATAAAATAATTGAAAAGATTTTAACTCAGTAGTATTTAATTTTGTATGACATTTGTTAAGTCTTAACATTTGAGTGGGCACAGTAACTTGTCATGGAAGGTATTTTGGTTTTCATGTGTTTGGGTGGGTGTTTTCAATATTGACAACCAGGATTTGTCCTTGTGATAGAAAGTCACCGCAAAGTAACTTCCCTAAAAGTAATTTTGAAACGATTATGACATTTCGATTTTTTTTTTTATTTTTCTAGTTAACAGTTACCAACATAAAGTAGAGGAAAAGGCCACCTGTGGAAAAGGAGGCAGACGTTCCCTCCTCAAAATCAAGAAGTTTTTAGGTTTTTTTATGGTGACTACTAGCAAGCAGCTGTTAAGCACTTTAGCAATAGCTCTTTTTATTTTGAGAATTACTTGCTGCAGGGTGACCTAATAGAGAAGCATAGAGTTTAGAAAGTGCATGTTTAGGGTATGGTGTCCTCTGGAGACTTAACTTTGATTATTAATAACAAAGACAGGACTGGCAAAGACCATAAGGTAATAATTAACATCCTTGAATAGGTTCTTTCCATGCAGAACTAAATTCACTTGTTGCCATTGGTTGTTACATTAACTATATTATCATCTTCTGCTCGCTCTGTCCATCTTATCTAGAACGCTTTATACTTAAAGTTTGTACATTGCTTGGACGTGAAATCAGGTGCTTGTATTTGTTACAGTGCCTATTGCAAAGGTACCTTCTATTTTGACTGTAGTGTCTGACTGGTACCCAGCTACAAATACTAAGATAGGCCTGAAATTACATTGATAAGTAGATTAAAAAAAAGAATAGTAAGTGGAGAGGGCAGGCTTTCAGAAAGTAATTTTTTTCTTTGCTGCAATTAAATAACTGTGTGTATTTTTATGTATCGGTGAGATACTCCTAGGCACTATTTGATCCCACCCTTTTTCCCCCGCTTCCTCCTCCACCCCCTTTCCCCCCAAAAAAGACTGATAATAGTTTGATTTGATTTGATAGTTGATTTGATAATGTCATTGGATACAGGGTGATGCTTGCTTCAAAATTTCATTGCTATAAAGGAAATTCTCTGGTTTTGAAAGAGAGCATATTGACATGAGAAAAGTTTGAAATCCCTCTGTGGCCTTCTTGTCCTTTTTGATTAGTTTTGCAGTACTGGGATAGAAAGAAAATAAGCACTTGTGGCCTCCCTAATCTGAGGAAACACACAGATTGGGTTAAAAGTTGTCAAAGCTATGTTTGGCACTGACTCTTCCAGTCTTCAACACAGCGATTACAGAACAACTGGAGCATGGTCTACAACAGCAAGCCCTCCAGACAGTGGACTTGAGTTTGCTTGGGGCACCATATCCTGGTTCTGAACCAAGAAGAAGAGCTAGTTGGAACTAGATGATCTTTAAGGCCTCTTCCAACCCAACTCGTTCTATGATTCTTTTGCCAAACTGTGGATGGTGTTCTTATTGTGAGTGATATCAACTAGTCTTCAGCTAAAAAGTGCCATGCTCCTTATCAGTAACTTGTGTCCTGTCCCTGTTTCTGCCTATGCCTTATGTTATTTAGTGAGGTAACCGTGAGAAGTCTTAGTCCAGCTGTGAGGAGGAATTAGTGGGTAAAGAGGGCTGATACACAACTGTTTTGACGATTATCCAGGTCACAGTTAGAAATCTGTGTTGATGATACTCCAGTGGTCTAAGTAAATGACTGCTATAAATTAAGGGAAGACAGAGGTCTCCCTACTTTTTTTTTGTCTGTCTTCTCCTTACTTTCCAATCCTTCCAATGCATCAGACATTTACAAAGAAGCAAGTTATTCTCCTTTTAGAGAATAGACCCTCTGTCTTGTCTTTCTGATCTCTTCTGTGTTCACTGGAAGTTTGCATATGCCATACTTCAGAGGAGTAATTAAAAATTTATATGCCAACTTGGTAACTTTAATTAGCATTTAAATTGCATTTTGTAACTCTGTGCTTTTGCTTTTTTACCACACTGACGTGTAGCAACTTTTTTTTTTTTTTTTAACATCTCCAAATAGTTTCCCTAAAGAAAAGTCTTGGGTAATAGCTTTAGGAGAAGGAAACATATTTCACAGAATTACAGAAGTTCTAATAACACTTATTTTTAGAGTTCCCTACTGTGAAAGTGCTAGTGTTTATACAAAGCATAACTTTGTCTAGAGCCTTAGACTTGTGATAGAAGTGGAAACATTTAAATACTACAGTTGTTTCAGTGCTTCATGACATAGCTTTGCATGAGTTGGCATCCTGTTTCAACCCTAGCTCCACAGTGTGTAAGGAATGGGCAAAGCAGTCGGAATGCTACACAGAGACATAGCATTATTTGGTGACCTTGAATAATATGGAATAGAAGGGTGGAGAGACTGATAGTAAGGCTGAATGACGAGGAAGGGCTACTGCTTCGGGCATGCTTCCTATTTTTGCATGAGTTTACGCGTGGCACTCTTAATCATAAGCAAATATTACTTGATGTCTTTAATGACAATTAAGCTGTTAAGCAGGTCCTGGCTGTGTCAGGGCTGATGTGGGCAGGAGGTCAAACTATGCTGCAAGATGCCTGCTCCCATCCGACTCCAAGGTAAGAGCTAGAGGCTTGATCTTGCCTTC